CTCTCCTTCCTAGTGCCTTGTTCCCAGCTACTACCTTCCACCACACCCTTCTACCATGATGTTCCATCTCACCTTGTGCCCAGAGCAACAGTCAGACATCTATGGACTGAGACCTATGAAACCATGAGCAACAAAATAACTTTTCCTCCTTCAAATTGTTAGTCAGGTCTTTTGGTTACTGCAGTGAAAAAAGCTGACTAAAACAGATCTTTCTCTACCCAGAGTCTTTGCCTGAGGAAAATAATTGCCTAAAAAAAATAAATGCTTGTCTTTGTTATGTATGGCTACGGATAATTAATTTATATTACCTGCACTGCACTGGGAATTTATGCTAAAAATAAGTGAACTATTTTTTGTTATTTTTTTACCCAGGCAGAAACAAATGAAAAATTGCTGTGTAGAAATACCATCCTAAAACAAACCCAGAGTTTATCCCAAAATAATACATATGTAACAGATGCAAGTGTACAAACACACACACACACACACACTTGTAGGAGGATAAAATCAGCTTAAAATTTACAAATTTGATGACAGCTGATCCACATTATAAAAATCTTTATAGATACAAACAGCGGGGTTATTTCAAAAGAAAATCCCTAGATGCATAATGCTTCAGAACATCTACTATTTCAATGATAGAGGAGAAAGTTTGGGTCACAGAGCAGCCAAAGCTCTGTGGAGACATGAGCCATCCTATGACAGCTAATAGACACCAACATAAATGTTATATATAAACATAAATTTTTATATAAATTTTACTGAGTTTCTATATGTGTATGAACTGGAAATCATCAAATTCAATTAATAAGTTTAAAGACAAATTAAAAATTCAGAACACTTTTCATTCCAGGTTTAGTAGTGCTATTACAAATTATTGTTCCTTTAAAGAATAATATTTCACTTGAAGTTACGGTTGGGCTTGAAATGTAGAATATTGGTCTCATGTAAAGTGAAAAAGCCAGATAGTATACAAAATAGTACCCTTCTTTGAATCCAGCAGAGGGATAATGACCAACATATCAACATTTGTGGGTTGTTGCTGAAATTTAGAGGAAAATTTTTGGTCTTAAAACTAAAAAAAATGGAATAGTTCTGTGTTAATTTTAAAAAGGATTTGTAGTAAAACCCTTCCTGTAAGGAAAACCCCAGAGCAAATAGTTTCATTAGTGAATGAAGTAACTTAAGGAAACAATAAAACCAAATCTACTCAAATTCCCTCAGTATATAAAGGAAGAGAGAACACTGCCCAACTTATCTTATAAGGTCAACATTCACTCTGCTACTACAATCAAGAACAATATTATAAGAAAATGAAACTATAGTCTAATGCCCCTCAAAAAGATAGATGCAATATCTGTAACAAAATATCAGTTACTTGAAGCTAGAAATTTATGAAAAGGATGATAAATCTTTAATAAGTAGGGTTTATCATAGTAAGAGAAAAATATTATTTTAATTTGAAAGGAATAAAAGAGAAAAACCATGCAGAAAAACATTTTGACAGAATTCATCACCCATTCAAGACATAAACCCTTAGCAAATTAGGAATAGAAGAAAACTTCAGTCTAGTGAAAGGCAACTAACTTCATTTCACAGCTACATAAACTCCATGACTTCACACTTACTGGCAAAAGAAGCTAGGCAAGCATTCTGTTCTTAAATATTCTAGTAAAATTCTGTTGAAACCTTTGATTAGTATTAAAGAATAAAAGAAATAAAAGAAATAACCTCCCATAATTGGAAAGGAAAAAGAAAAATTGTTTCACAGAGAGCATGTAGAAATGCTAAGTAATCTAAAAAACAGTTCCTAGGGGGAAAAAAAAAAGAAAATTCAACAATACATGCAAGGCAAGGTATGAAAGTCAAATCTATTTTTATATACTAGTAACAACTAATTTGAAAATGATATAAAACTATTTAAAATATCATTAAAGTACAAAATAATTAAGGATAAAATTAATAAAATGTGTCTGTACCTGAACTCTAAATAAAATCTTGCTGAATAAACTTATGAAAGCCTATATAAATGGAAAGATTGATTGGATTATAAAATTCAATATTTTGATATAACAAATCTTCTGAAATATATCAATAGATTCAACACAGTTGTGATCAAAGTATCTAAAATAGCCAGATTTAAAAAAAACATATATAATAATAGAGAACATTGTTTGTTGCTAAACATTCTATAAAAGCATTTTAATTAACTTGGGGCCTCATTGATATAAGGATACAGCCTTAGATTAAGAAACAGAATAGGAAGTGTCTAAAACTTGACCTCCAAATACATGGATAATTGTTTTTAACAGTGTGGCAAAGACTATGAAATAGAGGAAGGGATACCATTTTAAATAAATTATTCAGGAATAATTGGTTATTCATTTAGAAAAACAAAAAGCTTTGAGTGTTACCTCCTCACACACACACAAAGTAAAGTGAAGTGGGTCACAGAACTAAAAACAGCTACATGCATAAAGAGACTCTAGTGATGAATAAATGAATGCTAGGAAGGTTTAATAAAACTTCCATAGTGATGGGGATTGACAAATCTATCTAACTTTGGAAACTCTGCTCCTAAATTATGTCCTATATTGCTACTCTGCTTAAATTATGTTTGAAATTAGAACTTCTGAAAATCTAACAATTGATTTGCTTGAAGAGAGTTTCAGTTCTCAAAAAAGGTAGACATATTATAAAATTCCTATTTGTTCTCTTTATATAAACATTTCTGCCCCTATTTAGCTGAAAACCTTTGGTTTATTGTTATTTTTTTGGGGGGGGCAAGTGTGAGATAGGTATTATTCTGTCTCCCTCACATTAAAATGATTCCTTTACATCTCTCATTTAAATCATTTATTAAAGCTGAATAATAAAGATGCCATATTCATCTGGCTTTCTTCTTAGTACCACCCGTGAGTCATGGGTTACATGGTAGAAGGAGTTGGAGGGGCTGGCTCTTTGCAGACCTAGTAGATGTTTTATGAAGCCCAACCACATTTTGAAACACAAATAGATTTTTCTAAATACTGACCCATCTACTTTTAAATTAGTTCAATAGTTGCTAGATTCTCTATCATCATTGGTAGGGATTGCTAACTTTCTGTAATGTTTCTCACTGGCATTTTATTAAGGAATTTGGAGACAATATATTGGAATCTACTAGAAAGAAGTGATTTTGAATCAGAAGTTGATTCTGTTTTTTTTTTTTAAATACTTGGGATTAAAGATTGAAATCAGGGACACTCAACCAGTGAGACACAGCCCCAGCCCTATATTATAGTTTATTTAGAGACACAGCCTCACTGAATTACTTAGCACTTAGCTTTTGCTGAGGTTGGCTTTGAACTCAAGATTCTCCTGCCTCAGCCTCCCAAGCCACTTCGATTACAGGTTTCAGAAGCTGATTCTTTTATGTAGACTGAGATATGATTTTTATACTGGCAATTATATATCTTATATGTTATTACATGATTATGTTGTCTCTCACACAAGATTATCAGCCACTTCAGGGTGTGGTTTAGTCTTTGATCCCTCAGTTTTCCAGTGAGTAAATAGTTCAGTGATTTGCCTCAAGTAAGTAAGCATTCAGTGATACATTTGGGGAAATTATTTTTCTTTATTTTATACTTAATTTATCTAAAATGTTAAAGACTAAAAACAGAATACAGAATGAAAATTGAATGTATTCCTTATAGTTCAGGATACTAGTAGAATAAAAGAGATAGAACAAAAAAGTTCAATGGAAAAGCTCTAGGCAAATGACTTCCAAAATTAGTATATGTTGGAATATGTATGAAATATGTTAAGTTAACATAAAACCCAGAATGTCCAATCTGAAATAAGTGGAGTCTAAATATTTTAATAATCATTAAATAATCATGAAATAATCATTCCAAGGAAAGAAAATATTTGATAAGTTAAATTATCCATAGTATTTGGTAACATTCATGACAAATTTATTCAGCCACCTCTTTTTTGTTTTTCAAATCATATATAATAATCCAAGTTTGGGAAATAGGCTAAAACCATTACTTTTTAAAACTGATGCTGTTTTAGACATCAATGAAATGCTATTTAATGTGCTTGTTGAATAATAGAAGGTGCAAAATAAAAAATTTAGAATATTAGAGTCTGTCCTTCATTCTCACATATTTACTATTGATGCTTCATAAAAAAAATCTCATTTAAAAAGCTAATTGTTTTGGACTGAGTTCATCTGGAATGTCTCAAACACTGTGTCTATTTATAAAGTAATTTATTGGTAAGAGATGATCACTATTTCCCAGTGATAATGTAAAGACAGTATTTCTTTAATGTTTTGCCAAGTGTTAAGTCATATCAGAAAAATTCACAGTAGTCAATGGTTTCTTTCAAAGTGAATATATTGGAGTCTTCATATATGAGTAATATGATCAAACTTCTAAATTTGGAACTTAAGCCCCATTACAAATTCTCAAAAATCATGTGTGTATGTGTATGACATATTAGCAATACTGAGACATTTAGATAACTAAATTAATTCACGTGTAAGTAGATTATGATAACCTCAAAAGTATCTCTACATATAGTCAAAAGGTATAGATGCTCTAGGGTGAAGTTTTAGTATGTCCTGGGTACCTATAAGTTTTAACTTTTATATTAGAAAGAATGATAATCACAAGGTTGAAGAACCAAGCTCAAAGTCAATTACTTAATGGAAAAAAAAGTTCTCACTTGTTTTAAAAATAGTCTCTGACTCATACAATTTTCTGTAATAATATGGTGTCTTATTTGTGAAACACCAACTCTTCTCTGGAAGAAGCAGCTGCAGGAAGTGATCTGCCTAATGGAGATCACAACTTGGATGCCCCAAATATGACCCAATTTCAATAGCATTGGACGGCACCCATGATTTTCTCCTGCCAAGGATGCTTCTCCTCTCTTCATTGTAGTCAGTTGATTTCTCTATGCAGTAAGTCAGCAGCAAGGAAATCTGGAGTTATTCTAGGCATGCCCTAAGTAAAAACACCTAGTTTTTCAGCTGATTATGTAAATTGCACATTTTCACCTGTTATGGATCTGTCCAATTATCTCCATTTCTACATTTGAGAGTTAAGCTATGCCTAAATCATCTCTCTGTTAATAAAATGCTCCTCCAATCAACTGTCAATGTTTGTACCACCTTGCAGAATGGTTTCATGTCATCAACTGATGAATTTGAAAATCTTTAATTGCTCATGTAAGGTCCAGATGATCCCACATAACTTGGTGCTGTCTGCTCTCTTTCTAGGTTCTCAACCTGAACCCTTGTAGCCATGTCAAATTTCATATGGCTTCCTAATCACACCAGGCTGTTTTCTGACTGTTTCTTTTCATATTTTCCTTGGCTGAAAGTTATCCCTACTCCATACCATCCTTCAAGATTCCCCTTGTTTGGCCTGAAAACACTGAATTGTTTTTCAATACATAGTTTAAATGGGTAAAGCTAATAATCCTGTCTTACTTATGTTTCCTGTATATACACACATCTTTCATGGTACTTACAATACTTCATTCCATATATCTTTTTGTCTGTTTGTTCATAGTAGAATGAAAGCCCCTTCAAGTACAAACTTTCTGTGTCATTCATCTTTGTCTTCAGAAACTTTCAATATTTCAGGAAAATAGAACATGCTTAATGAATGCTTATTGAATTGACAGATCAAATAACAAAAGCCAATACCTGGTTTTTCAATAGGTATTTCAGGTGGAAATCATACTTTTTGATTACTGTTAAGAGGCATTGTCTGAAAAGGAAAAAAATACTTAATTAAAATTGGGTGGAAAATTTTATCTAGTATTATCTTTAGCACAAATATTTATCACAAGTTGTGTTTGGTTCATTATTCTATAAAAGACAGGGTATAAAAGGGATTACTCTTTATATAATTTTGAAAATATTTTTATAAGTTCTATATAAAATTGTATAACTTGACTGACTATAAATATATGTGAACATTTTATCACTCCAAAAATGTTAGGACAAATTAACCAAATCTTTCAAAGATTGATCTTCATATCAAATAACTGTTAATTCAAAATGTGAGTTGCAAAGGCGTGATCTTATAAAATATATTTCTGGTGTTGGTCCCTATTTCCTAAAACCCTTAGAATCTTCAAAGTGGTAAGTATCTTTTTGTATGCTAATGAGTGGCTGGAACCCCTGGATATCTTCAGAATAGAAACTGGAAAGACCCAAGCAGAATTAGAGGGGCTGAAGGTTAAGCTGAACACAGATGGTCAATAATTCAATCAATCATGGCTATGTAATGAAGCTCCCATTAAAGTTCAAAAGGACAGGGTTTGGAGAGGGTTTTCAGATGACTGAACACCTGGAGATTTCTGGACATTACTATGCCTGGAGAAGGCATGAAACTCTGCTCCTCACCCCAATGCTCTATGCATCTCTTCATCTGCATCCTTCTTAAATATCTTACAAAAAACTGGTAAATGTGATTCCCTGAGTTCTGTGAACCACTCAAGCAAATTAGACAAAACCCAATAAGGAAATTTTGGGACCCCAATTTACAGCCAGTTAGAAGCACAGGCTTGCTGGATATGGTGGTGCAAACCTATAATCCCAAGGGCTCAGGAGACTGAGGCAGGAGGATCTCAAGTTCAAAGCCATTCTCACAAAAACTAGGTGCCCCACAAAAGGGATTCATAAGAAGACAATGGTAAACACATCATGAAATGTTAAATATCAAAAATCTTATAGAGAATTGCATTTGGAATTAATGGCATGTATTTATAATAGTAGTGTCTTTGATACCAAACCTCTGCTTTTTTCTTTCCTAAGCTTCTCTTATTCCAGCTTTATCTATGTTTAGTTGGAATATTCATGATTTGAACAGTGATTCTTGTGGGTTTCATTCTTCAAGACAGGTTCCAAAACATTATTAACTTTATCTTCTTATTTGTCCTGAAAACTCCTAATTGAATTGAATAATGAGTAGCACAAAATAAAAACACAGCATTAAAAACTAATCAATATGTTTTACAGCAGCTGCTTCCTCACTCTTATTACATTATCCCGTTAGGGGGAGTCCATCTGTCAATTCAAAGAAAAACTACATAGAAGATGTCAATGGAGGGGTAAGAAAGCAGTAGTGCATTTTCATATAAAACCTATTTCTAAAATTAAAAATCCACCAGAACTGCACTGATTTCAGCACTTAACTTTAAGGTATGGTATCTATTTTATAGAAAAAGTACTAGGAAATAGTGATGGTCAGTGAAGTTCCCATCTTCTAAAAGGTAGTTGAGTCATAGAATAAACAAAATATAAGCTGCTGTCTAGCATTTGACTTTCTGATGACACCATCAAGTGGGTTGACAAAGGCAGGCAGAGCAGCACAGTCTCAAAGAAGACAAAGTCCCACACTGGCCTTAAGGAGGCCGAGAATGGACCTGCACTAGATAACACTGAAGAAATCTAAGGGGCTGAGGTTGGAATATAAAGGAAGTAGAATAAACATTCCTTGAGAATTAGAGACTTGGTTTTAGTCATGGCTGCAACATTCAATCTGTATTATAGCTAGCAAAACTTTTCAACTCTTTTTTTTTAACCAAAGTAGCACTGGGAGGTGGCATCCTCCCAGATGGTGGTTCACTGCTCTTGGATTGAAGGGAAACAGTGAAGGAGTTAAATCTGATTCTAGGTAGCTCTGGTAGGTTTCCTTTATGCCTTACCAAAGTAGAACCTTTTTTTTTTTTTTAACTCTGTGGACACTTGGACAGGCAGTGGCAGGTATAAGACAAGAGCAGAGTGAATACATCCTGGCTTTGACCTTCTTCTCATAGCCTCTGTCTCTTGCCTTTTGGTGTCCCACCAAACCTGTTCAAAATAATGCCTTGTCTCCTAGGCATTCCCACTTTTAAAGAATTTGTCACATTTGATTTCTTTTTTTCTATCTCTCCCCGTACCCGCCATTCCTGAATAAATTTATTTTGTAAAAAGGAAACTATAGCCTTTGCTCATGTGCTATGTTGACAGTTAAAATGCTATGCTGACCCAATCCTTATCATTAGTTATAAAATAAAATTTTGAGTGAGCTTATGTGTAATGTCTTTTCTAGTCTTAGCCATTTTATAATTTTATACTGTGAGGCTGAAAATTTTGGGAAGGGAAGTAGAAAGTGGGACACACATGGAAAACACTCATAGCTTAATGAAAAAAACATGGCCTTTGAATATTTCAGATAGATCTGATTTTACTCCTGCCACTAGTGACCTGAGTGGCCTTGGGAAAGTTATTTAACCAACCCAAACTTCAGTCTGTTTGGTTTTGAAGTAGAATAATATGCATTATCATGGGATTGAGGAAAGGCAGAAATTAGAGGAGATAATGCATGCAAAATGTATAATAACTCCACAAAGTGATGACTATTATTTTATATCAGGCTTTGCTTTAGAGATTTATGAAATATATTTCCCACCACACATGTTTTTTGCTGGTTCAGCTCAGAAGAATTTAGTTCCAGATATACCCTGACTGTAGCAATTTAGCTTCCTAATAGGTCTATTCTTCCAAATAATTCATGCATATATTTAGTCAAAAGAATCAATTAGGGTATGTTCATTTCCTGTCAGTTGAGTCTTCTGATACGAATTTACTCTCGTCTGTTTATGATATACCAATTACATTCAGGGAGCTCCAGAATTTTAAGTAGAGGATCGTGACTTTCAAAGTATGGAAATTCAGTTTTACAAAGAGCTTAGTGACACATGCATACCCAAATTCACAAAATGAATGAGAAAAAAAAATCCTTGAAAATGTAATAACCAGCAGCAGAGATATTTTAAAATGAATGTTAGATTGTTCTGGAAGGTGTTAGCAGCCCTTCAAATGTATCTGAAAAGCTGTGAAGAACAGATAATTATTAACAGAACTTGCCAAAGGGAGATATCTATTAAAAGTACAATAGCTTCCATGGTACTAGTGAAAGGACAGTCTTTACAATCAACTGAAAAATATTGTGATTTGGCATGTGAGAACTCAGTCAGAAAGCCGTCTTGGAGCAGAAGTAAAATGTCTTACCTGGATACTTTCCAAACGTGTGTAAACTCTAGAAGTTGGTTTGGGTGAAACTGACAGTGGTCGTCTTCATTCTGTAGACAGCAGGATATATTAATATTTATAGAGTGAATAGGAATGAGTGCCAGATAAAAATAGGTCTGCAACTTCCTGCTGTCATTTTATTCACCTCTGTTGATAACCCTCATTCATCATTTTTATGCTTTTTCTTAAAGACTCTCCTTAACTGTACAAGCCTTCTTTTCAGTAGTGAAACAGAAAGCTGAGCTTAAGTTGAGGCTAAATTGAGAAGACAGTTGAAAAACATCCTGCATCACCAAGGTCAAACATTAACTTCTACTAGTGTATAAAAAGGCAGGCTTTTAGTCACCAGTTCTTCCCACATAGGAACTTTCTCTTCTTCTTCTTTTTTTTTTTCTTCATTTAGGGCAAACGTGCATGCCATGGCAATCTAAGATGATATTTGGCCATGTAGGGCAGTAGGCAGACAATAAACTCCTCCATTTTTCAGCTTCACCGCATCTTACCACCAAAATGTCAGCGTAAGAGAGCTTTCCCTTTCATGAACAATATATTATGCTAATGAATGACAGAATATGATAAGTATAAATTCTAGGACACATCAGTTGCCAGTTTATTTTCAGTCCTGTGACCCATATGCATACACAAACACACTATCACACACTCACCTAAACTCCTTGACTAGCTTTTTTTTTTTTTTTAAACTAGGTATCCATAAAACTATGTAACTGTGCAGATATAATGTAATATACTCCATCATAATTGCACTATTTGACCACACGGTGGCAACAAAGTTGAAAGCTGATAAGTCCCTTATTGCTTGGGTATATATAATCTTGTGTGTCTCCAGCCCTATTTTAATATTTTATTTAGAGACAGGGTCTCACTGAGTTGCTTAGTACCTCACCATTGCTGAGGCTGGCTTTGAACTCTCAATCCTCCTGTGTCAACCTCCCTAGCCACTGGGATTATAGGCATGCACCACCTAGCACAGCCACACACTTGATTTTGAAATTGCCTATTAAAGTTTCTGATGGAAAATATCAGAAATCTGTATGTGGCTGAAGGTCAAAAGTGAATTAATTTTTATGATTTGTGTGTGTGTGTGTGTGTAAGTAGAAAGAAGCTAAGTTACTTGGAAAGAATGAGGTCACTGGTATAAAACAATGCTGTAAGTGTATGGTTTTAGAGAGACACTTTGTAGAGATGCTAAGGAACTTGGAGTGTGAAGCTTATTGTAGAAATTTACATAGAAAGTCATAGATGTATGCATTGTACGGGGATAGCTAAAATAGAAAGTGTGACAGCAATAAGACAATTTATATGTGGCCGAGAAGGCCACACTTTATATTGTACAGCAAAAAGGGAGGGGACTATAAAGAGAAAAACAGTATTAAGTTTAGAAATGTAATATCTTAGTATCCAGCACTTCCCCTCTTTCAGATGATAAAATCAAAACATGCATATAAATAATATAAAATTTAAATTTTTATGTATTGAAAAACAAACTTAAAATATATACATATGTATAGTTACTTGTATATTTCTGTATATCATTCTTACATTTATTGTAAACCCATCTTATTTGGTTTACAGAACTATCTTGGGGTGGAGAAAATTAGCCTTTGTTGTATTGCCATTTACTAAAACTATTTTGTTTTTGTTTAAAATTTCTCAGAAGGGTGGAGAAGAATTTCAGCAGCTGGATGTGGAACAAAGTATGTGTTTTACTTTTCTTCAAAACTGAAGACCATACCTTGGTCTTAAGAAAAATGTCAAACCTGTATTTTCATTTAAAAATTCTGTTGTCATAATTGTTCTGTGAATATTTCTTTGGAGCTAGAAGCAAATCTTGTTTTTATGATTAGTAGCTACAATGTTGGCAACACTTTTGATCAATTTAGAGAAAGATAAAAAGAGAACAAAAATTTAAAAAGAGATTCAGTCATTTACATCACATTTAATCAATGTAGGAGTTTTAAGATTTTGAAATCAAGGATGGTTTCTAAAGCCCATCAAATTGCTAAATGAACAGTCTCTTAGAACAAGAATTAAATTGTCATATTTTAGTATAATATAATCAAGTTTCAAATAGGGGAGGCATCTAAGATGAATTGAGGTTGGTAATGCCTTTCATAACTATAAAACACTAAAGTATCTATTGAAAGGCAATGATGTCGATAAATTTAGTCAAATGATAATAATTATTACATTTCTATGTGAAAAAGTACCATAAATCTACTTTTATAATTTTACTAGAGCGACAATATAATTGTTCATAAATGTTTAGCTTACAGCTTAAATTCTGAAAATCAGGAGAATTTTGACAACATTTTGAAAAGTAGCATTGAAAACATTCATATCTTTTTATGATGCCTATGTTAAAAACAAGGGTCAGATATTTTAAATATGGTAATTCAGATACTGAAGAAGAATCAGAAGATGATAAGCTGTCTCAGTATATTAAAGTGATTAATATAACATCTAGATTCCACCCCAAAACCTTTATAAAGTCTGCTTTAAAATCAGGCAATTGAGGGAAGAGGGAGAGAGTAAGAGTAAGTACTGAGAACTGAATTGGAGCAAACTGAATTCTATGCATTTATAATTATGTCAAAATGAATCCTAATATTGTGTATAACTAACACGAACTGATAAAAAATGAAAGAAGATAATTATCCTTGTGTTTGTTCATTTATTTTTGTCACATATTTGCCCATGAGAGTATAATTTATCCTGCTTTCTGTGTATTAAAAGGTTTAAGAAAAAGTGTTATGTATCAAAATTGTTGACCTATAGGAAACACCCTGATTGCTTTGATTTGGATCTGAGTATTCCTCTAAGGCTCATGTATTAAAGACATCATCCCCACAGTGGCATTAATGGAAGGTGGAATCATTAAGAGGTGGGGTAAAGTCAGATGTTTATAGGTCTCTGGAGGAGTACACTTGAAAGGTATTGTCCTCAGTATTTTTTTTTTTTTTGCTACCTGTTTCCTAATGAGATGTCAGATTTTTGCTTCAACATATGCTGCTGTCATGATAGGCTGCCTTGCCATAACATCAAAAGCATTAGGGCCAACTGATCATGGGTAGAAACTCTAAAACTGTGAGCCAAAATAGGTGTTTCCCCTTTATAGGATGACTATGGCATTTGTTATAGTAATGGAAAGCTGACCAACAGAAAACTGGTAGTGAGAAGTGGGGTCTTTGTTATTGCTATATACTTGATGATGTGGAAGAGAATTTGGAATTGGTTTACAGGAAGAGTTTGGAAATATTTGGAGGAGTGGGCTGGAGAAAACCTAGCATGCTGTAAACAGAGCTTACCTTGTGATTTTGTTGTGGTCTCAAAAACCAGACTGCTGATGGGAGTACCAAGAGTAAAGGTGATGCAGTTGAGGTTTCTATTGGGAAGTGAGGACTATTGGAAACTGGACCAGAGGCTAAATGTTACACCATGGCAATTAATTTGAATGCATTTTGATCATGCTCAGATACTTTGTGGGAGACTGAGATCAAAGGTGGTAGATGAGTTAACTAACAGAGGAAATTTCAAGGCAGCCCAGTATTCAAGCTATGGTGTAGATATTACTGGCTACCTTTAACCGGATTTATAGTAAGAATCAGGAGAAAAGAGAAACATCAGAATGACTTGAAAATTTTGCAGCTTGGCCAGAGAAGGGATGGGTATAAGTTTTGGATAAAGACTGTGTGGTTATTGGCACCTATAAAAAGAAGACAAGCACTTTGTGCCAGGACAACAGGAAGGATGCCTCCAAGAATATCTCAGGAATCTGCAAGGCCACCCTACCCGTTGGTAGGCTCAGCGATCTGGAAGCGTGAATTTCTTTCAAAGACTTTAATTTGAGGAAAGACATCAGAGATAGACACCCTGTGCACCCAGGACCACCTCAGAATGACTTTCCAGTGTCAAGACAACAGGTACTCAGAGGCCACCACAGCTAGTTTCAAGTGGGTCCAGGTATAGCTCATGCTGGCAGCAGAACTTGGCATTGTCTACATGATGTTGTTTTTGCAGGCATCCATTAAGATTTCAAAGGAAAGCTCTGGAGGCCAGGCAGTGTGTTACAGTGTTGAAGTCCCTGCAGTGGGATGATTCATAGAGCTATGGGAGTGCATCCAAAAAGCTATAGTTTAGACCCTGAAAGGTAGAGATCCCAGCATTGAGCATTGCCTGTTGAGGAAAGCTCTAGGGAGTATGCAAAAGTTTTCCTAAAAGAGTACCACTGTGGGTGAACACAAGCAAGGCCGTATAGGTGGAATCCCATATCCCACCACAGTTTGTCCTCGATATTGGGCATGAAGATTCAGGACTTAATGTTTGCCCTACTGGGTTTTGGTGTTGATTTGTGACAATTACTTTCTCTTCCCCTATTCCATACTTTTCAATGGTAATGTTTACCTTGTGCCCTGTCCCATCATTGCATCTTGAAAGTATGTTACTTGTGTTTTGATTTCTCACAGGGGCTCACAGCTGAATTTGCCTTTAGTCTTGAAGAAGACTTGGGATTTCAACTTTTGAGCAATGCTGGAACAATTAAGATTTTGAGGATTCCTGGAGATGGACTAAGGACATCTTGCACTGTAAGATAGTCATAACCCTTAGGGAACAGCAGCAGAATGCTACAATTTGGATTTTTAGTGTCCTCCAAAGGCCCACGTAGTAAAGCTTGGTTCCCAGGGTCATGTAATTGGGATGCGGGGGAATCTTTAAGAGGTAGGGCATAGTGGGAAGTCGTTTGGTCACAGGAGGAATACCCTTAAAGGGGATTTTGAGGCCTCCATCTCTTCCTCACTTTTTCCTTTTGCTTTTTGGTTCATGCTAAGGTACATGGCTTTGCTCTGCATGCACTCCTACCATGATGAGCTGCCTTACCACAGGTTCTAAAGCAACTGGGATAATGGATCATGTACTGAAACCTCCAAAATTGTGAAACAATTCACTCCATAAGTTGATTGTTTTTTTATTGCAACAGAAAGCTAACAAAAATCAGGGATTTTTTTTTATTGCAACAGAAAGCTAACAAGTGATACTGGGGTGTACACATTATTCTGAGATAGGAAATCAATGCCCATATCTCTCAATTTTTTTCCCAAGTTTTTAAATGTTTAAATGCAAACTAGTTTTAATAAGGCTTTAAAATTTCCACTAGTAAATGACTAAAATATAATATTGTCTGTCACCTTAATTCTATGACATCAATAGCTAATACTTATGTAATCCTACCAAGGTCAGGCACAGTCCTAAGCTCCTCACTTATACTTCTCAGTTGAGTTCCCCTAATAGCCACATTGGCTAAATACTATTTATTATTCATAATTTTAGATAAAAATTAAGGTGCAGAATATTGAATAATTTTCCTAAGAGTGAACGCTTGAAATGGGCAATATGAGACCAAAGTTATTTCTTGAAACAAGATGCCAAATTAATAAATTTAATACTCCTCATTTCAAATGGTCAGAGCTAGGACTATACGCTTTAGAATTTAGACATAAAAACAATTTTCACTGCCAATCCTTCATATTCATTTGTATTAGTTTGCCCCTACAGCTTCCTCTCAAGAAATAGATACATTTTCTTTTGAAGGACATATATTTGTTGAACTTCATTATATATATATATATGTGTGTGTGTGTGTGTGTCTGTGTGTGTTTAATTCTCTGTCTCTCTACCAGGATGTGAACACTAAATTTTAAAGAAGGTACCAATATGCCTTGTCTTTGTGTATGCAGTGTTTAGAAGGTACCAATATGCCTTGTCTTTGTGTAGGCAGTGTTTAGAATAATTTCTACCACATAATACGTGCTTAATTATTTATTTGTTTGATGAAAAAATAAGTTACTAATCTACACTATATGTTTTCTAGGACATAATTCTGGATTTGAACTGTGGTCATTAAATTTTTTTACTGTATTAGACAAGTATTATATACAGCATATAGAACATGTTTAACAAATAGTTCTTAAATTAGTCACACACATACACACATAATACTTATGCTCATTCCTAAAAGTGAAGTCTTAAAGATTTTTATAAAATGTAATGTATTCTACTTTGGAATGTGATCATGAAAAAAAAATTTAAAAAGTCAAGATTTGGAAAATGGAGACATGGAGTACCGTTCTTTCATCCTATGTAAAGGCTGCATTGCTCTTTAATTTGGAATCTGGGCCAGCTGGTTTTCCTGGATGAGACTTGGTTGATTTTTGTCTACTATTCTAGTCACTCATGCAGAGCCTATTGCATAGAAATTACACATTAAATACTTATTAAATGAATGAAAAGTACACAAATTTCTTTGCCTTCAGGCATATGATAAAATTTTAAATCACAGCTGTAGTCAGTGCTAGGAAAAGTTGTGGATAAGATAAGGGAGGTGACTCAAAATGGGGTAGGGAGGAGGAGCATGAGAAGAAAATTACCTCTAGATAGGGAAGAGAGGTGGGAGGGAAAGGGAGGGAGAAGGGGAATTGCACGGAAGAGGGAAGGAGACCCTCATCGTCATACAAAATACATGTATGATGATGTGAGGGGAAAAAAAAGAAAGAAATGTGTCACATTAGATTGGGTAGAAAGAAGTGATGGGAGAGGAGAGGAGAGAAGGGGGGATAGGAAGGACAGCAGAATAAAATAGACACTAGTATTGATGTATGTATATAGGTGTCTGTGTAACCAATGTGATTCTGCAACCTGGACACTCAGAAAAATGAGAAATTATACCCCATTTGATTCAAATGTATGATATGTCAAGATCATTGTATTGTCACGTGCAACTAAAAAAAGAAAAGGCATATATATTTTCTGTTCATAAGTTCTGGTTTCAGCCAAGAGTTGATGTTATTTATTATATGAAGTAGAGAGATGGTTACTAGCAAAGTTAACATGAAGAATAAAAAAGAAGC